TTGTGGGGGCAATAAGCTGACTTTGTATAAATATACAAAAGTATGAAGGCTATTGCTTAACGCATTGTAAGCCGCCCTGAGTCTCCGGAGAAGGGCGGCATATAAATAAAATTAAAAAAAAATCTATCTATAATAACCAAAAGGCGAGTATCCTGGTGAATGGGGATAGGACCAAAACATTCCAAATTAGTAAGTGAGTAAGGCAAGGTTGTCCCCTATCCCCTTTATTGTTTATTTTGGCCCTAGAAGTTCTTCTGTGGAAAATTAGAACTAATAAGGAAATAAAAGGATTGAAGATCAGGAAGGAGACTTACAAGATGCAAGCATTTGTGGACGACGTAGCTCTAATCCTTGAAGACCCCATAGAATCGGGACCTAAAGTATTAGAGGAATTAAGTAAATATGGAGAGGTGGCAGGCTTCATAGTGAACAAAACTAAAACCAAAGTATTGATCAAGAACACAACTGAGAGCCAGAAAAACGAGATAGAAGAAGTATTAGGATTACAGGTTGCCAAAAAAATTAAATACCTAGGAATTTGGATTACATCAAGATGTTCGACCCTGAAAGACGATAATTATACTCCCCTAATTAGAAAAATAAAACAAGACCTAGACAGCTGGAAAAAAATAAGACTATCACTTTTGGGCAAGATAGCCACAATTAAGATGAACATCCTCCCCAGAATATTATTTTTATTCCAAAATATACCGATAAATTTAGACAAAAAATTCTTTCTAGAACTAGACAAAATTATCAGAGAATTTATATGGGAGGGGAAAAAACCGAGATTTTCCATTAAAATTTTAAGGGGCAAAAGAGATATAGGTAGATTTGGACTCCCAGATTGGGAAACATACTACAGGGCAGCTAAGCTAGTTTGGATAAGAGATTGGATCACCCTGGAAAATGAGAGGATTCTTATCTTAGAAGGCCATGACTTGCAAAAAGGGTGGCATACCCACATTTGGGACATGGAGAAGAAAAGGAAGACACATTTCCATAGACATAAAATTAGAGACTCCTTGATACAAACATGGACCCAGATTAGGCAAAAATATTACAAAAAAATCCCAAATTGGCTCTCAACGATGGAGGCCCTGACCCACCCAAATAGGTGGGAGAGGGAGAAAATGGGCAGATATAAAGATATTTTAGACGAAGGAGGGAGGCTTAAACCAAATGACACCTTACGAGTGCAAGGAATAATTTTAGATTGGTGGACCTACTCACAAGTAAAATCCAGATATCAGAGAGACAAAGAACAATACGGTCTAGAACTGGGACCAAATGGATTGGATAAAGTCCTGATGGGAACAAATAAAAAGATTCTGGCAAAACTATACAATTATTTATTAGAAGACGATAAGTTCGAAGATGTCACAAAGAACCAAATAATTGCATGGGAGAAAAATATAGGGTATGATATAAATTTTGGGGAATGGGAGGAGGCATGGAACAGAAATCTTAAACTGACTAGAGCGGTGGCATATAAGGAAAACCATTACAAAATGTTTCATAGATGGTACCTAGCCCCGGCCAGACTAGCGAAGATATATCCCAATATACATCCCAACTGTTGGAAATGTGACCATGGTCAAGGCACCTTCTTTCACATGTGGTGGACATGCCCGGAAGCGAAAGGATACTGGAATAAAATTAGGAGGTGGTTATATGAAATAATTGATGAAGATATTGAACTAACACCAGAGATTTTCCTCCTGGGAATAATAAAGAAGCCATATAGAAAGGAAATGACACATTTAATGATCCACATAATTACAGTCGCTAGGTTGGCATATGCACAGTACTGAAAAGAGAAAACTCAACCACCAGAAGAGCTTACAATTAAGAAAATACTCGAGTGCGCAGAGATGACTAAATTAACTTATGAATTAAATGATGAGAAGTCAGTTTACTATATGGTGTGGGAAAGGTGGTACAAGTGGTTGCATGATAAAATGAAAGAAAGATCTAAAGGTGTATTAAATAACGGTTAAAAGTGAGTTGAAATGTCACCAAGTACTATTTATGTAAATAGTTAAAACACTGCACATCCGATACAAATTGAAAATGTTTATTATACGTATGTGTTTTATGTTTTTGTTTGAATGTTTGTTTTTCCCTTTTCTCTTTTTTTTTACTTCTTTTTTGTTTCGTAAAAAATCTCAATAAAGTTTCTATATATGGAGGAAACAGCTAGGATGAAGGAAAATGGTAATACTTGCCATCGTGGCTACTGTTGATGACTTTTTCTTGAAGTTCAGAATTATTTTCAGCTTTGGCATCTGGAAATGATCAGATCCTATTCCTTTCAAGGAGCATAATTTCTGCTGACAACTGAATTGGTTCATTTAAGAACATACTTTGTGAAACAAAGTAATGACTAGCATGTAGTAATGATGCCACTGGGAAACTGACCTTTGGGACATCATCATAATTAAACTAATCAAGCAATAAATTAGTTTTTAGAATAAATATCCTTTGCTTATTTTGTTGGTTTTATTATTGATACTGTATATCTAACCTCTACACAAATTCTATCATATTTAGAATATAAACGATATAACAATAAATTGAATTTGAATGCCACCTAATTCTCAATGACTCTGATAACCCATAACAATCAAATAAATAACAATAAAATCAATAAAATGTTTTAAGAAGATAAAAGATGGAAAGGGTGATGAAGCAAGGAGTTGTCACTTTCCTCCCTGAAGGTCTGGTTAAATACTCAGGCTTCAAACTTCTTCTAAACAAGAGCAGAATAGAGGTCATCTGAATCTTTGAGGATTATTGTTCCACAGGGTAAGTGCTACTGTAGAGTACCTACAGAACACTAACAAAACAGGACATTGTTTAACATAAGAAACCATTTGACTAAACTTTCAGGTCAAATTGGCCAGGGAGATGTTATGGAATGCAGGTTGTTCCTCATATAGGGCTTTAAATGTAACAACCAGTACCTTGAATCACACCCAGAAGCAATTGACAACCAGTGCAGATTTTGAAGTTTGTCCTTCTTTGTTCAACAAACAGACAACAGATTTTCCTGGTTATCATATCTATCTTTTCTTCAGGAAATACTAGTCATATTAAAATGATCATTTTTTTAAAGAAAAACCGAAGTGTGAAGGATGATCCTAGCTTGTTTAGTCAACCAACATACTATATGTGTGTTATGTAATCCAGCTACTCTATTGTCTGTCTGTCTGTCTGTCTGTCTGTCTGTCTGTCTGTCTTTCTGTCTGTCATCTATTAGCTATCATCTATCGTCTATCGTCTATCGTCTATCGTCTATCGTCTATCTATCTATCTATCTATCTATCTATCTATCTATCTATCTATCTACCTACTACCTACCTACCTACCTACCTACCTACCTACCTACCTACCTACCTATCTATCTATCTATCTATCTATCTATCTATCTATCTATCTATCTATCTATTTATCTACGCACACACAAACACACACACACTACATAATGAGATAAATGAATGAGAATATGCTTATGTGTTATATGAAGAACTAGACTGTTCTGAATTACCTCAGAATTCAACTGTTAAGAATGTAAAGAGAGTGCCAATGTGATTAATTGTTCAGAAAACTTTTCATAAAAGTTTTCATTCCTCCCTCCCCTTCTCCTTCTTTCCTTCTTAATCATACAGTATGTCTTAAAAGACAACACAGTAACCACATACGTATTATAGTAAATTGATTCATATTCTGTACTATAGAATTACTATATAGTGTACTATAGAATTACTAGTCAGTACAGAACTGGAAAGAATGCTTCAGTTTTCTACTATTGCTTTGAATTTACTGAAAAGTAAAATGCCTTCTTATTTCTCAAATACCAAGAACTAAATATTTCAACCCTAAGATAGTCTCTTCTGTTAATACTCACAGTACTTATTTCAATGGACTGGGAACATATTTTTCATGGTAAAAGCAGACAACTACAATATGTGGGACTTTGCTTAGTTACAAATTAATGATTCCCAACATATGACCCTGATTGCAAAGATTCTAATTTCTGTTGGCTGTCTGTACTCCAAATCTGTATCCAAATGAAATAGTTTAGTCTACATTTAATAGAAGTCTTCACGTTATTTGATGAAATTGGGGTATATATATGGAGAAATAGCTAGGATGAAGGAAAACGGTAATACTTGCCATCATGGCTATTGTTGATGACTTTTTCTTGAAATTTCTCTCTTGATGTTCAGAATTATTTTCAGCTTTGGCATCTGGAAATGATCACATCCTATTCCTTTCAAGGAGCATAATTTCTGCTAACAACTGAATTGGCTCATTTAAGAACATACTTTGTGAAACAAAGTAATGACTAGCATGTAGTAATGATGCCACTGGGAAACTGACCTTTGGGACATCATTATAATTAAACTAATCATGCAATAAATTAGTTTTTAGAATAAATATCCTTTGCTTATTTTGTTGGTTGTATTATTGATACTGTATATCTAACCTCTACACAAATTCTATCATATTTAGAATATAAACGATATAACAATAAATTGAATTTGTATGCCACCTAATTCTCAATGACTCTGATAACCCATAACAATCAAATAAATAACAATAAAATCAATAAAATGTTTTAAGAAGATAAAAGATGAAAAGAGTGATGAAGCAAGGAGTTGTCACTTTCCTCCCCGAAGGTCTGGTTAAATACCCAGGCTTCAAACTTCTTCTAAACAAGAGCAGAATAGAGGTCATCTGAATCTTTGAGGATTATTGTTCCACAGGGTAAGTGCTACTGTAGAGTACCTACAGAACGCTAACAAAACAGGACATTGTTTAACATAAGAAACCATTTGACTAAACTTTCAGGTCAAATTGGCCAGGGAGATGTTATGGAACGGAGGTTGTTTCTCATATAGGGCTTTAAATGTAACAACCAGTACCTTGAATCACACCCAGAAACAATTGACAACCAGTGCAGATTTTGAAGTAAAGGTGTTAATTGGACATACCAAGACATGTCCACTACTGCCCATGCCATCACTTTCTGGACTAGTTGATAGTTCTGGGTGTTCTCCTAAGGCAGCCCTATCTAGAGAACATTGCAGTAATCAAGCTGTATGGTAATCGGGAATGAGTGATTATCTGAACAATCCCACAATCTAAGAGAGAGAGAACTGATGTACCAAATGGAATTGTACCCAAGGCTTTCCTAACAACACCTGACATCTGTTCTTTATGCAGGAACTATGAATCCAGGAAGATCCCCAGGTTGTGTACCAACCAAGTTCAAAAATGGAATATTCCTAGATCTGGTGGTTTAAACACCCATAGCTATATGGCATGATTGAGTCCATGATATCCAAACCTGTGGAGTTGGAATCGTAGAAACACCCAGGAGCATAGAAGAGTTCAGAGGCAAATGCATAAATAAATGTCTTAAACGTATTTATTCATATAATAAATCATATTAACTATGTACAACAGAGATCAAGTCTCATGAGGAACAAACATAAGAAGAGAGAGATGGAAAGAGAGCAAGGTGGAAAAGGTTTGAGGGGGTTTTATACTCAGGTTAAGCCCCTCCTTTCCACATAGGGGTGGAGACACTCTCTGCCTCCACTGGTGTTTATATGATACATGTGCCAATGGTTTGCAAATACTTGACAGTTCCCCTCCTTGCGAGCCAATGGCATGCAAACACACTAATGCAATGCACAACAGATTTTACCCTGTGAGACATAACTTTTTACACAGATCTTTGTGCCTATCCTCTGGTAAAGGTTTTGTGAAAACGTCAGCTGTTTGATGTTTGGTCTGACAGTGTGTTAAAGATATAAACCCCATCTCTACTAGTTGTCTAACATTTTGATAACAGATATCAATATGTCTGGACCTTTTCCCCACTTCATAGGCTTTGGCAATGCCTATGGCCCTGGTCTTGTCTTCTATAATTTGGATGGGCAAAGTCGGTGGTGTCCAGATGCTAGAGATTAAGGCATCAAACCATATCAGATCGTTCCCTGCCTCTGATAGGCATGCAAATTCAGCCTCAGCGGTGGAGCACAAAACAAATTTCTATTGCCCCACATGCCAATGGATGGTGTCCCATTTAACAGTACCAAGAAGCCCAAAGTACTCCTACGTGTCTTGGTATCTCCAGCCCAGTCTGCATCCACGAAGCATTCTAATTGAGCCTTGTCTGTATTCTCAGGTTCCAAGGGAAGCACGTAATCTGCTGTGGTCTTGAGATACCTTAATAACTTTTTAATCAGGGCAGGGTGATGAGGAATAGTCTTGAGAATGTTATCTGGGAGGAGTTTGATGCTATGACTCCTGATGAAGTGGACAGGATTTTGGGGAGACTTAGTACAGCCACATGTTTACTGGACCCGTGTCCCTCCTGGTTGGTACTGGCTTCCCGGGAGGTTACACGAGGCTGGCTCCAGCGTGTTATCAATGCTTCGTTGAGTGAGGGTTACTTCCCCGCTGCCTTGAAAGAGGTGGTGGTGAGGCCTCTCCTCAAGAAGCCGTCCCTGGATCCGGCAATATTGGCCAACTCTCGTCCTGTCTCCAACCTTTGCTTCACGGCGAAGGTTGTTGAGAGTGTGGTCGCGTGACAGTTTCCACAATTCCCGGAGGAAACATCTTATCTAGATCCATTCCAGTCGGGTTTCAGGTCTGGGCACAGCACGGAAACGGCATTGGTCGCGTTGGTTGATGATCTCTGGAGGGCTTGGGACAGGGGTTGCTCCTCTGTTCTGATCCTGTTAGACCTCTCAGCGGCTTTTGATACCATCGACCATGGTATCATGCTGCACCGGCTGGAAGAGTTGGGGGTGGGAGGCACCGTATTGCGGTGGTTCTCCTCCTTTCTCTCCGACCGGTTGCAGTTTGTGTTGGCAGGGGGGCAGAGGTCGACCTCAAGGCCTCTCATTTGTGGAGTGCCGCAGGGATCGGTCCTCTCGCCCCTTCTGTTCAACGTTTATGTGAAGCCGCTGGACGAGAGCATCGTGGCTTCGGGGTGAGATAGCATCAGTACGCTGATGACACCCAGCTGTACATCTCCACCCCAGGCCACCCCAACAATGCCCTTGAAGTGATGTCTCAGTGCCTGGAGGCTGTGCGGATCTGGATGGGGAGGAACAGGCTAAAGCTCAACCCTTCCAAGACTGAGTGGCTGTGGCTCCCGGCATCCCAATATAGTCAGTTGACTCCATCACTGACTATTGGGGTGAGTCCTTGTCCCCCACAGAAAGGGCTCACAATCTGGGAGTCCTCCTGGATATGCAGCTGTCCTTGGAGGAACATCTGATGGCTGTAACCAGGGGGACCTTTTATCAGGTTCGCCTGATTCGCCAGTTGCGGCCCTTTCTTGATCGGGATTCCCTGTGCACAGTCACTCACGCCCTCATCACCTCTCACCGTGACTACTGCAATGCTGTCTACATGGGGCTCCCCTTGAGGGGCACCCGGAGGCTCCAGCTGGTCCAGAACACAGCAGTGCAGGTAGTGATGGGAGCAGCATGGCGCTCCATGTAACACCGCTCCTGCACGAGCTGCACTGGCTCCCGGTGGTCTTCCGGGTGCGCTTCAAGGTGTTGGTTATCACCTTTAAAGCGCTCCATGGCATAGGGCCTAGCTATCTTCGAGACCACCTGCTGCTACCGACGACCTCCCAGCGACCCGTGTGCTCCCACAGAGAGGGCCTCCTCAGGGTGCCATCAGCCAAACTATGTAGGCTGGTGACCCCCAGGGGGAGAGCCTTCTCTGTGGGGGCACCTACCCTCTGGAATCAGCTGCCCCCAGAGATAAGGAGAATCCAAGACCTCAGTGCCTTCCGCCGTGCCCTTAAAACCAGGTTGTTTCTCATATAGGGCTTTAAATGTAACAACCAGTACCTTGAATCACACCCAGAAACAATTGACAACCAGTGCAGATTTTGAAGTAAAGGTGTTAATTGGACATACCAAGACATGTCCACTACTGCCCATGCCATCACTTTCTGGACTAGTTGATAGTTCTGGGTGTTCTCCTAAGGCAGCCCTATCTAGAGAACATTGCAGTAATCAAGCTGTATGGTAATCGGGAATGAGTGATTATCTGAACAATCCCACAATCTAAGAGAGAGAGAACTGATGTACCAAATGGAATTGTACCCAAGGCTTTCCTAACAACACCTGACATCTGTTCTTTATGCAGGAACTATGAATCCAGGAAGATCCCCAGGTTGTGTACCAACCAAGTTCAAAAATGGAATATTCCTAGATCTGGTGGTTTAAACACCCATAGCTATATGGCATGATTGAGTCCATGATATCCAAACCTGTGGAGTTGGAATCGTAGAAACACCCAGGAGCATAGAAGAGTTCAGAGGCAAATGCATAAATAAATGTCTTAAACGTATTTATTCATATAATAAATCATATTAACTATGTACAACAGAGATCAAGTCTCATGAGGAACAAACATAAGAAGAGAGAGATGGAAAGAGAGCAAGGTGGAAAAGGTTTGAGGGGGTTTTATACTCAGGTTAAGCCCCTCCTTTCCACATAGGGGTGGAGACACTCTCTGCCTCCACTGGTGTTTATATGATACATGTGCCAATGGTTTGCAAATACTTGACAGTTCCCCTCCTTGCGAGCCAATGGCATGCAAACACACTAATGCAATGCACAACAGATTTTACCCTGTGAGACATAACTTTTTACACAGATCTTTGTGCCTATCCTCTGGTAAAGGTTTTGTGAAAACGTCAGCTGTTTGATGTTTGGTCTGACAGTGTGTTAAAGATATAAACCCCATCTCTACTAGTTGTCTAACATTTTGATAACAGATATCAATATGTCTGGACCTTTTCCCCACTTCATAGGCTTTGGCAATGCCTATGGCCCTGGTCTTGTCTTCTATAATTTGGATGGGCAAAGTCGGTGGTGTCCAGATGCTAGAGATTAAGGCATCAAACCATATCAGATTGTTCCCTGCCTCTGATAGGCATGCAAATTCAGCCTCAGCGGTGGAGCACAAAACAAATTTCTATTGCCCCACATGCCAATGGATGGTGTCCCATTTAACAGTACCAAGAAGCCCAAAGTACTCCTACGTGTCTTGGTATCTCCAGCCCAGTCTGCATCCACGAAGCATTCTAATTGAGCCTTGTCTGTATTCTCAGGTTCCAAGCGAAGCACGTAATCTGCTGTGGTCTTGAGATACCTTAATAACTTTTTAATCAGGGCAGGGTGATGAGGAATAGTCTTGAGAATGTTATCTGGGAGGAGTTTGATGCTATGACTCCTGATGAAGTGGACAGGATTTTGGGGAGACTTAGTACGGCCACATGTTTACTGGACCTGTGTCCCTCCTGGTTGGTACTGGCTTCCCGGGAGGTTACACGAGGCTGGCTCCAGCGTGTTATCAATGCTTCGTTGAGTGAGGGTTACTTCCCCGCTGCCTTGAAAGAGGTGGTGGTGAGGCCTCTCCTCAAGAAGCCGTCCCTGGATCCGGCAATATTGGCCAACTCTCGTCCTGTCTCCAACCTTTGCTTCACGGCGAAGGTTGTTGAGAGTGTGGTCGCGTGACAGTTTCCACAATTCCCGGAGGAAACATCTTATCTAGATCCATTCCAGTCGGGTTTCAGGTCTGGGCACAGCACGGAAACGGCATTGGTCGCGTTGGTTGATGATCTCTGGAGGGCTCGGGACAGGGGTTGCTCCTCTGTTCTGATCCTGTTAGACCTCTCAGCGGCTTTTGATACCATCGACCATGGTATCATGCTGCACCGGCTGGAAGAGTTGGGGGTGGGAGGCACCGTATTGCGGTGGTTCTCCTCCTTTCTCTCCGACCGGTTGCAGTTTGTGTTGGCAGGGGGGCAGAGGTCGACCTCAAGGCCTCTCATTTGTGGAGTGTCGCAGGGATCGGTCCTCTCGCCCCTTCTGTTCAACGTTTATGTGAAGCCGCTGGACGAGAGCATCTGTGGCTTCGGGGTGAGATAGCATCAGTACGCTGATGACACCCAGCTGTACATCTCCACCCCAGGCCACCCCAACAATGCCCTTGAAGTGATGTCTTAGTGCCTGGAGGCTGTGCGGATCTGGATGGGGAGGAACAGGCTAAAGCTCAACCCTTCCAAGACTGAGTGGCTGTGGCTCCCGGCATCCCAATATAGTCAGTTGACTCCATCACTGACTATTGGGGTGAGTCCTTGTCCCCCACAGAAAGGGCTCACAATCTGGGAGTCCTCCTGGATATGCAGCTGTCCTTGGAGGAACATCTGATGGCTGTAACCAGGGGGACCTTTTATCAGGTTCGCCTGATTCGCCAGTTGCGGCCCTTTCTTGATCGGGATTCCCTGTGCACAGTCACTCACGCCCTCATCACCTCTCACCTTGACTACTGCAATGCTCTCTACATGGGGCTCCCCTTGAGGGGCACCCGGAGGCTCCAGCTGGTCCAGAACGCAGCAGTGCAGGTAGTGATGGGAGCAGCATGGCGCTCCCATGTAACACCGCTCCTGCACGAGCTGCACTGGCTCCCGGTGGTCTTCCGGGTGCGCTTCAAGGTGTTGGTTATCACCTTTAAAGCGCTCCATGGCATAGGGCCTAGCTATCTTCGAGACCACCTGCTGCTACCGACGACCTCCCAGCGACCCGTGTGCTCCCACAGAGAGGGCCTCCTCAGGGTGCCATCAGCCAAACTATGTAGGCTGGTGACCCCCAGGGGGAGAGCCTTCTCTGTGGGGGCACCTACCCTCTGGAATCAGCTGCCCCCAGAGATAAGGAGAATCCAAGACCTCAGTGCCTTCCGCCGTGCCCTTAAAACCCACTTTTTCCAGCAAGCCAGGCTGGCTTAGGAAGAATTTGTTTTAAAAATTTTTAAATGTTTAATTGGTTTGTGGGTTTTTTTAAAATTTTGGGCCAAATTTATATAGATTTTAATTGTTTTTAATATTTATATTTCATGTTTTTAATTCTGGCTGTGCACCGCCCTGAGTGCTCAGGGAGAAGGGCGGTATATAAATTGAAAAATAAAATAAAAAAATAAAATAAAAATGGCCAACCAGTGGAACTGGGTAGGATGTTCCACTTGTCTGGATAGCAGGTTCATGGCCAGGGCAATGTCTGGACGGCTCCAATTACTTATATATAATAATGAGCCGACCACTGGCCTAAATAGAGTATTATTTTGGAACTCTGGGCTAACCTTGTGTGCCAAACTATAATAGTCAGTCTGCATTGGGATAGCAGTTGGCTTGCTATCTTCCATTTTACATTTCACCAAAAGTTCCTCTATCTTCTCCTTTTGGGAGAGAGCAAAACCTTTTGGTGTAGTGATGATTTGTATGCCTAGGTACTTGTCCACATATCCTAAAGACTTTAGAGTGAACCTTTTTTGTAGGGTCCTGGCAAATATATTACATCCCCCCTTGTCAGGCCCTATATATAAAAGGTCATAGACATACACTAGGACTTTCTCCAGCCCCCCTTTGGTATCCCTTGTGAAGGTACATTTATCAGCTGGAGATGGATGGAAACCCAATGATTTGAGTGTTGTAGTCAGGCATTTGTACCACATTCTGCCTGATTGTTTGAGGCCGTACAAATTTTTCTTCAGAAGCCAGGTGTATCCTTCCTGCTGCTGGAATCTGGGAGCACCTCTGACGTATTTTTTTTTTTTTTAGATGTGCGTGTAAATAAGCAGTTTGCATGGAAAACAAAGATGATAACTAAAAATATGACAACAAATCAAAAAGTAGAATTAGAAAGAGTAACAGGATGTGAGATAGTTAAAAAGGTTAAATATTTAGGAGTTTATATTACAACTTCAAATGGGAAATTATATAAGTATAATTACGATGTGTTATGGCATAAAATACAGACAGAGATGGATAACTGGAAAAAATTACAATTGTCCCTGCTGGGAAGAGTAGCAATAGTAAAAATGAATGTTCTGCCTAAGTTTTTATTCCTCTTTCAAATGATACCAATACTTAAAAAAGATGTGAATCTGGAAGAATGGCAGAGGGGTATTAACAATTTTGTTTGGGCAGGGAAGAAACCAAGGATAAAATTAAAAATAATGCAAGATATACGTGAAAGAGGAGGTCTGAAAATGCCCAATTTAAAATTATACTATGAAGCAGCTATTTTATTAGCAATTAGTGATTGGATTAATTTAACAAATGAAAGAATATTGAATATTGACGGATATGATTTGGTATATGGGTGGCATGCCTACCTAGTGTATAAGAAGGTGGATAGGACTTTTAAAAGTCATATACTAAGGAATGCTTTATTGCGTGTCTGGAAGAAATATCAATATAAATTAAATGATAAAATACCTATATGGACAGTACCCAGACACGCGATAGAGAACATAAGTATAGAACAAAAACAGGATGTAACTACCTATAAAGAAATTCTTAATATAGAGAGAGGTATATTAGAGTTGAAGCCCTTGAGTGTATTAAAAGAAGAAAGGGTAATTCAAACTTGGTTTCAGTATGGACAATTACAAGCTAGATGGAGAAAAGATCAGAAAATTGGTATTACACAAAATGAGGGAAACTTGGTAAAACAAATTAGAGACCAGAGTCAAATGCATATAAAAAGGTTGTATAATATATTGATAGAAGCAGAGTTAGTTAAGGATTGTATGATAAAATGGGCACAAAACTTGAAAAATCAATAATGATGGAGACATGGGAAAAAATATGGGTAAGAAATGTAAAATTTACGCAAGTGCAAAATTTGAGAGAAAATTTTTACAAAATGTTTTATAGATGGCATTTAGATCCCACAAAGTTAGCTTGCATGTATCCGAATTTACAATCTAAATGTTGGAGATGTGACTGCAATGATGCTACTTATTTCCATGTATGGTGGACTTGTAAAAAGGTTAAGGCATTTTAGATAAAAATATGGTGGATTATTCAAAATATCCTTAAAAAGAGGATAAAGTTTACGCCACAGCTGTTTTTGTTGGGTATAATTACAGACTGTATGGTTATAAAAACTAATTTGATCTTGAATTTAATAACTGCAGCAAGATTGTTGGTGGTGCAGTACTGGAAGAAGGAAGATTTGCCTACTATTCAAGAATGGACATTAAAAGTAGCAAACTTAGCAGAGATGGCAAAAATTTCAGCATATTTGAAGGACCATTTAAACGAGAAATATATGTTGGAATGGAGAAGATGGATTGATTATATTCAAAGGAAATATTGGACTAAAAAATTTCAAATAGTTTATGAATGAATAAAGAGATGTTATTAAGTATCTAAATTTAGCTTAGTAAAAGTGGAGTTAAAGTACAAGGGGAGGTAGGAAGCTACAGTTAGTTAGATTATGTTAGATTAGGATTGTTTAATGTTATACCCTGTATTTTGCTCTGGGAAGCTGGGAGGGGGTGGGTGGGAAGGGGGAGGGTTGGGGAGGGTGGGGGGAGGGGGATATATTTGTAAAACTTTTTAAAACTTTATTATTATTATTAATAATAATAATAATAAAAAAGCAGTTTGCATGTCAAATTGAAAAATGTGTTCCCCATGTGTTGCTGCGGTGACCAAAGCAGCCCTCACACTTTCTGCTCTCATGGTGGGGGAGTAGGCTTCATCAAAGTCCTGTAAGTAGCGCTGTGAGTAGCCTTCTGCTATTAACCGGGCCTTATAAAGGAGTTTGGCTTGACCTTGTAGACTCAACGGGTGCCAATTGCCTTCCTCTGTTTGGGGACTTCCATGGGGATGAAGAGTTTCATTTTTTTGAGACTGTCCATTTCTCGCTCCATTGCCACCCTCCACCTGCGCTGTTCTTCCTCGGGAAGCCGAAGGACATCTGTGTATGTTTTAGGGGCCATGGTAATGCTGTTGACTGAGGCCACACATCCAATGTCCAACCTTTTGGGTGGCACCCCTTTATTGGAGTGTTTTGACCATCTGGGGAATTGCCACTCACCATTATCACTGTCATCCAGAGCATTGGTGTCAGAATTGGAGCTGCCGGATGCATCTTTCCAATTGAAATGAGGCGGGCCTCTGTCCCAGCCGCTGCAAAGATATGGACGTTTTGGTGAGGCAGAAGGTGTGAAGTCACCCAGGAATTGCTTGTTCAAATTGTCAGAGTCAGGTAGGGATTCATCACCATCCGGATCTTTGCTGATCTGTAGTTTGGAGTATGTTGGTTCATCCTCTTTAGGTGGTGCTGGTAGTTCAGTGTCATTCCTAATAGGGGAATAACTGGGTTCATTGGAATGAATTCTTGACCAATTTGACCACTCCTCAAAGGAAGCTGATCTTGAGACAATGACAAGGTTATTTTTGTCTACAATCTACAAATCTACAATCTATAAATCTAGCAGCCTTGCATAACCTATAAATCTGAGCCTCCTCGATGCCTTGCCCCCCTTTCTTCTTAGGTGCTTGGGAATATGGATCCAGGCATAGGAACCAAAAATTCTCAGGTGTGAGAGGCAAGGTTTCCTTCCATGGACCAGGAAGTATGGGGTTTGGTTAATGGCACTACTCCATATCCTGTTGACTAGATAATTAGCTATTTTGACCACTTCTGCCCAAAAACCTTGGCTCATGTCAGCATCTGCAAGTAAGCAGTTCATGACATTCTGCAGCACGCCATTTCTCCTTTCTACAATGCCATTCTCCAAAGGCGTTTGAGGCAATGATTTAAAATGGAGGATACCTCTCTCCTTCATCCACTTTTCAAAAGTCCTGGGTGTAAACTCAGTTCCCCTATCGCTCTGCACCTGAGTGATGCACACCTTGTGTTGCATTTGGATCTGGTTGTAAAGATATTTGAAGTTGGTAAAGACTTCAGTTTTGTCCTTTAAAATAAATGCATGGCCATAACGAGAGTAATCATTGACTACCATTAAAAAATAATGCCCCTTGCCAAGGGAGGGCCTAAAAGGACCAACCAAATCCATGTGTACCAGGTGATAAGGGTACCTTGCACATCAGAAGAAGCCTTAGGTATAGCAGCAGTTTTTGATTTGGCTGCCTTACAGATGGCACATTCCAAATAGGTATTACAATTCTTTATCTTAAGGCCATCGGAAAAATCTTGCATTTTCCTAATAACCGGGAAGCTGGCAGTGTAAAATATGTGCACAATCCAAATGTAAAGGTTTACCCATGCACACTTTGTCAACCTGACAAAGTTCTGTATAAAAAGAAAGATCTGTGCAACACAACTATAAAATGAACTGGTCTTTCTTCCAGTCCAAAGACTATAAGTGTGCAGATTGAAATAGAGAACACATTCACTAAGGACAAATTTGCAATGAAAAAGTACATGGGTCTGTGGAGTTTCTTCCCAGGGAAGATTCTGGAAAAGATAATGAAGCAATGAATCAGCAAATATCTAAAAGCAAACAAAGTAATAACCAAAAGCCAAAATGGGTTTGTCAAAAACAGATCATGCCAGACTATTTTTATTACATTCTTTGACAAAGTGACAAAATTAGTGGATCAGAGGAGTACTGTTGATATAATTTACTTGGACTTCAGTAAGGCATTAGATAAAGTAGACCATAACCAGTGGTGGGATTCAGCCAGTTCACACCACTTCGGGAGAACCAGTTGTTAGAGAACCAGCAGTTTGGCAAACTGGTTGTTGGAAGAAATCATTAGGGCAGAGAACCGGTTGTTAAATTACTTGAATCCCACCACTGACCATAACCTACTACTAGATAAAATAGAAAGGTTAAGGTTAAGGTTAAGGTTTATTAAATTTGTATACCGCCCTTTTCCCGAAGGACTCAGGGCGGTGAACAGCCAAGATTAAAATACATACAATATAAAAATTAAAATAAATTAAAACAGAATTAAATCAAATTGGCTTCCTGAAATTTAAAACCCTTTACCCATAAAATAACCCATTAAAATTTTAAGCCAGCCCGGCTTGCTGAAATAGGAAGGTCTTCAAAGCTCGACGGAAAGTACGGAGGTCCAGGATCAGTTGTATTCCTGGGGGTAGCTCGTTCCAGAGGGTGGGTGCCCCCACAGAGAAGGCTTTCCCCCTGGGGGTCATCAGTCAACATTGCTTGACCAACAGCACCCTGAGAAGACCCTCTCTGTGGGAGCGGATTGGCTGGTGGGAGATTATCGGTGGCAGAAGGTAGTCTCATAAATACCCAGGCCCTAAGCCATGGAGCGCTTTAAAGATGAGAACCAATACCTTGAAGTGCACCCGGAAGATCACCGGGAGCCAGTGAAGCTCACGCATGAGAGCCCCCATGATTACCTGCGCGGCTGCATTCTGGACCAGCTGGAGCCTCTGGGTGCTCCCCAAGGGGAGCCCCATGTAGAGAGCATTGCAGTAGTCCAGGCGAGAGGTGACGAGGGCGTGAGTGACTGTGCATAAGGAGTCCTGATCCAGAAAGGGACGCAACTGGCATATCAGGCGAACTTGATAGAAAGCCCCCCTGGCCACGGCTGTCATATGCTCTTCTAAAGACAGCCATGCATCCAGGAGGACTCCCAAGTTATGAACCCTCTCTGTGGGGGGCCAATGACTCACCCCCAATAGCCAGCGATGGCACCATTTGGCTATATCGGGATGCCAGCAGCCACAGCCACTTGGTCTTGGAGGGATTGAGTCGGAGCCTGTTCCTCCCCATGCAGACCCGCACGGCCTCCAGGCACTGGGACATCACTTCAAGGGCATCATTGGGGTGGTCTGGGGTGGAGATGTACAGCTGAGTATCATCAGCGTACAGATGGTACTGCATCCCAAATCCACGGATGATCTCACCCAGCGGCTTCACATAAATGTTGAACAGGAGAGGTGACAGGACTGACCCTTGTGACACCCCACAAACAAGGTGCCTCAAGGTTGACCTCTGCCCCCCAGCCAACACGGACTGTGACCGGTTGGAGAGATAAGAGTAAAAGCACCATAGAACGGTGCCTCCCACTCCCAACCCCTCCAGCCGGCGCAGCATAATATCATGGTCAATGGTATCAAAAGAAAAATGTGGGTTAGACAGCATCACCACCAGATGGTGGTGATGGTCATTTGTAACTGACTGGCCAACCGCACTCAACATGTAGTTCTCAGTGGAACTGCATCTACATGGAAGGAAATATGCAGTGGAGTACCCCAAGGCTCTGTTTTAGGTCCAGTACTCTTCAACATATTTATCAATGACTTGGACAAGGGATAGATGGGGAACTCATCAAATTTGCAGATGACAGCAAGCTGGGGGAATAATCAATACTCCAGAAGATAGGCTTAAGATATAGAAAGATCTTGACAGACTTGAACATTGGGCTAACAAAATGAAATTCAATGGTGAAAAAAGTAAGATTCTACATTTAGGCAAGAAAAACAAAATGCACATTTACAGTATATGTGGTACTTTGCTCAATAGCAGTAACTGAGAAAGGGATCTTGGAGCGCTAGTGGACAACCATTTAAATATGAGCCATCAGTGTGCAGCAGCTTTCAAAAAAGCCACCCCAGTTCTAGACTGCATAAAAAGAGGGATAGACTCAAGATCAAATGAACTGTTAATACCACTTTATAATGCCTTGGTAGGGCCACACTTGGAATACTACATTCAGTTTTGGTTGCCACGATTTAAAAAAAGATGTTGAGACTCTAGAAAGAATGCAGAGAAGAGCAACAAAGATGATCAGGGGACTGCAGGCTAAAACATATGAAAAACGGTTGCTGGAACTGGGTATGTTTAGTTTAATGAAAAGAAGGACTAGGGGAGACATGATAGCAGTGTTTCAATATCTCAGGGGCTGCCACAAAGAAGAGAGAGTCAAGGTAATTTCCAAAGCACCTGAGGGTAGGACAAGAAGCAATGGGTGGAAACTAATCAAGGAGAGAAGCTACTTAGAACTAAGGAAAAATTTTCTGACAGTTGGAACAATTAATCGGTGGAACAACTTGCCTCCAGAAGTTGTGAATGCGCCAACACTGGAAGTTTTTAAGAAGATGTTGGATAATCATTGTCTGAAGTGGTGTAGGGTTTCCTGCCTAAGCAGGGAGTTGGACTAGAAGACCTCCAAGGTCCCTTCCAACTCTGTTATTCTATTCTGTTCTGTTCAGAATAACATGCTGGAGTTTTTTGAAAGTACAGATGGTAAGGATGAGGATGAAGTTGGCACTTAGGGCTGTAAGATAGATGAATGTGAATATGCAGAAGAGAAATATCTCCATGTAAGTTGTTGCTGATAGCCCTACCAGGATAAACTCCACTACAACAGTTCTTTGTAATCATTATGAATGGAACGTTCCTTCAACAATCAATTCAAGTACAATGTTTGGGAAGACCTATAACTGATAACCTGAGGATCTGTCTTGGCTTCATTCCATTTTTGTTCTAAGCTTTTGATGTGCACTCCTTTCTATAAATAAAGGATGTGTTTGGCTGCTTGATGTTCCCTGTTCTGGTATTTGGAAGATATGTAAGGCAGTTTTTTTTAATCAATAAGAAAGTTGTGTAATCTCATTTTGGGCTCATTATTAATTTGAAATCTTTTTCTTTTTTAAAATAAAGTAATGATATTTTTGGGAGGGAAACTTATACAGCATCATCTAGATCAGGGGTGTCAAACTTATGTCATCATGGTGGCATCACATGATGTATCGGGACTTTTTCCTCTTTGCTAAACCAGGCATGGGCATGGCCAGTGCAATTCGCATCTGGTCCACGGGCCACGAGTTTGACAGCCCTGATCTAAATGAATGGAAGTATTGCTTTGCTTAGCATTCTTTCAAAGACATCTCTGTATATTCTAGTAGAGGAAATACCTGTTATAGGAACATGCACTGAAGCATTTTTTATTATAATTCAAGGTACTTTGATTATTATATAGTGAATGTTTCCCCGCATACTCTTTAGAATAAGAATTTTTCAAGTAGACCAAGACTAGTTCCAAATCTATATACCTATGAAATATTTCTTTCCACAAAGATATTGACTTCTGGGGCTTCTTCATAATTACTCCAATCATAATAATTATTGTTCATTTTATATATTTGTGTGAGGTTCAGATCTAATGAAATTTTAATTAAAGTAGTAGTATAGAAATCGAGAGAACACAAGTCCCATGATGTCCAGAATTTTACTCTTTATATGAATAACTATGTATCTAGCTCATAATTTTGCTTGAATTGACTGTTTTGAACCAGCTGTTTGTACAATATGTTTTTTAACAAATGTACTTTTAGTGGAAATAAATTATTCTTAAGGAATAAAAAAAACCTAGATAGGCAGAAATAATGGATCTTCTTCATTTAATCCTGAAGCTAATTGATAACATTTTACTTCATTTGTTTTCCCTCTAACAGGGATTCAAACAATAATTTTAGGCTATCATTTTGCATATAAATTTCCTAGTCTGGAAACTTCCATAGAAACTCCTGAGAATAATCATGTCCGAGTATAAGACACTGCTTCCTGGACACTTTGGGGTGTACCTTATGGATTTTTGGCTGCTAATCGTGAAAATATCTTGTATTTTAACCTATCATACATTATTTTATAAAAAACTCTTCTGTTATTTTATAATGGCAATGCAAACCCTAAAGTAAGCTACACATATGAAAAAAACAAAAACAAAACATATTAAACATGGAACTTGTTATAATACCTGGATGCTGTGCATCTGGATTTGGGGGAATAGATTTAAAGTTAATCCTGACAAGGCTTAGGGGCAGCCGATATTTGGGCTACCTAGTTTTAGGTATTTGAATTTTTGTCTAGCAAGGACTGGCACTTCTTCAATTGGTACACTTGGTGGTATCTTGGTCTGTCAGTTCTGCTCAAAGACCAGATTGTAGCTGTGTCCAAGTGGACCTTTGCATAGGTGTTTCTTGTTCTATTTTCTGGACCTCAATGCCTTTCAGACAGTTATTCATACTCTAATCATCTCATGAATAGATTAGTTAAGGTATGTTATATGAGGCTATTCTTGAAGACCACTCAAAAGCTACTGTTAATCCAGAATTTAGTGCTACAGGCAGTATTAGATATATGTCATGATGTCCATGTAACTCCGCTGAATGTTGCAAATGGTTATCATTTGGATTTTGGTTGCAATTCAAGGTGTTGTTAATCAGAGATCAGGTATGGCTCAACAAGATCAAAAAGGCAGAAACCAGATTCTCGTTCTAAGTCACATGTTTATTTAGTGCTGGACAGAGTTAGTGCTGGACAAAGGTAGGCCCTCTAATAAGGCTGGAAAAAATTCAAATGCAATTCTAAGCAAGCATATATAAGTTTCTTAGTTTTACTTGGTTACCTAACAGGAACATTGCTTACTAGAGATAAGGTACAAAAGTTATAAAAATATTTGAGCTTGCATCCTGTAGTTATGATCCTGTAGTTCAACTGTAAGCTTGTAGTTTCTTTTTCAAGGTCTCCACAACTCTGAAGCCTGAATTTTATTTCTGTCATTTCAATACAAGAATCCTTAAACCAAGGTTCAGAGTTATCAGAATTTGAATCAACAGTGCTGTTTATCACTTATAAAGTCTTTCACAGCATCGACCCTGGTTGTATAAGAGAGCATCTTTCTGTAGTTATTTCTGCTCTGAGTCCCATTGCTTAAGCAGTGAGAGAAAGCATGCCTTCTCCCTTATGACAGCTGCCTTGTGAAATGATTTATCCCCAGAGATAAAGATGGTTCCTATATAGATCATATTCAGAAATCTATTAAATATTCTCCCATGCTCTGGGATAAAGTAAATTGAGCTATTGTTGGACGAATTTTCTTGATTGTATGTTGTTTCTAATGCCACTCATAATTTTTCCTTGTGTTTTTGTACCAATTTGCCTGTTAAATTTTGCAAACTGAAGTATGTTGCAGTTTTAATTTTAGTGGTTGCTAGAGTAACATAAAACTTCATTAAGGGGTCAAAACATTCATTTGAATATATATATATATATATATATATATATATATATATATATATATATATGTGTTATCAATTAACTTTGCAAACACACATCTATGTGTACGCATGAGCATGTACATATGCGTGCATATATATTTTCTGATTAAAAATTTGCAATATATGCATTATATCTATTCATTAGAAATTCTGCTTTTCCAGAATTACACTGTAGAATATAGCTCAGTATTGAATCACTTGAGCAGTCCAATTGTCTTTGTGAGCACTCTCAATCCTTCCTTGAAATCTTTGTTTCTCAGTGTATATATGATTGGATTAGCCACAGGAGTTACCACTGAATAAAGAAGAGCAATTTGTTTGTCTTGGTCTAGAGAGTAGGCTGAAGAGGGCCTGATGTAAGTATAGATGACAGAAGAATAGAAAATACTGACTACAATAAAATGTGAGGAGCAGGTAGAAAATGCTTTTTTCTTCCCTTCAGTGGAACGGATTCTGAAGATAGCTCTTATTATAAACAAATATGATGTTAGAGTCAATCCACAACAACCAATCCCAAATATAACATCTGAGGAAGATAAAACAATCTCATTTAGAGTTATATCTGAGCATGAGAGGTGCAGCAATGGAGGTATATCACAGAAGAAATGATTGATAACATTGGAGTCACAAAAAGACAACTGCAATATAAGTCCAGAATGTGTAGAGGAATTGACCAGTCCTACAACCCATACTCCAATAGCTATGGAAGCACACACCTGCTTCCTCATGATCATAGTGTACTGCAAAGGGTGACAGATAGCTGCATAGCGATCAAAAGCCATAAAGGAGAGAAGCAGAAGTTCTGTTCCTAAAGCCCATATAAACAGATAGCCCTGTGCAATGCATCCATAAAATGAGATGGTCTTTCCTCCAGTCCAAAGACTATAGAGCAATTTAGGAGTTGTAACTGAAATAGAGATTACATTCACTAAGGACAAATTGACAATGAGGAAGTACATTGGCGTGTGGAGTTTTTTGAAACTACATATGGTAAGGATAAGAATGAAGTTGGCAGTGAGGGCTGTAATAAAGATGAATATGAATACCCAGAAGAGGGGAGTCTGAATTTCAGTTGTTGTAGATAGCCCAACCAGGATAAACTCCAGTATGGCACTCTTGTTCTTTATTTCAATATTGTTGTAGCTGCTATCCTAAAGAGAACATGATTTACTATAATGATCAACATAGTTGCATAATTCAATAATTTATCTAGCTATATTTCAGTTCCTTCTTACCTCTTTTAATTTTCCATCAAAAATTGAAATCTAATTATTTTATGTGGTTATTTTAAAATATGGAAAATCTTCTACTCTTAGATTAGTTTACAATAGTGATGAACCTGGGTCTTTCTGAACCCCTATGGTTCTGGTAGTATCAGTGATAATCAACAGAACTGGAATCCACTAAATTCTTAACAATTTTTTAAAATAATGTTTTTAGTATATTTTAGGAATGTGGAATAATAAATAAATAGAAGCTTTAGTGATAAAATGAGGTTTCTAATACCACTTACTATTTGTAACATAACATTTTAGCTGTTCTAGCACTGAAAATGTAGGTGCTAAATTTCTTTACCTCCACTGGGTTTATTTTCACTGTTAGAGACAAAAAAAATGTAACTGTAGTATTATATAGAATCATATGAATTGTTCGTTCATGTTTTGCCATTATATGATAATTCTACTTTTTTAATTTATTAATTCTGTTTAGATACTTTGTACAAAAGAGAAGGAAGATGAAAAAGTTAAGATATGACATGAAGTGAAATGATTGCCTTCATCTCTATTTATTCTTACAGATAGAAGAATAAATAGGAAGCTCTTTCCTATGATGGAAGCTGTTTCTTATTATTTAGGAGTATGCTTACTTGTTTAATTTTTCCTGAACTGACATTTGGAAGATAATAATTGCTTTCTATGAGTATGAATGAAGGATTATATTAATGTTTTTTTAAATATTATATTAATGTGGACATTTTGAAATACTTAGTGAAATAAAGTGATTATACCTCTAGAAGAGGGACCATAAAAGAATCCCAGGAGTTGAAATCCACACATTTTAAAGCTGACAAGCTTGAGAAGCACTGATCTAAATAATATTTATTTGTATTTATTTATCATTTTTTTCACTGTCATCTAATGGTTTAGATAACTTCAAGATAAAGCAATATATCACAACAATTATAAATATAAAAGGGATTAAAATTATAAAAATTAAAACAACTAAAAAAACAGGACTGTGGAAAGGAGAGGTAGGGTACCTACTCTGAACCAACTACCTCCAGCTAGCAGCGTCTCCTTCAGGATCCATGCCAACTGGCATAGCTAGCTTATAAGGCTTTTTAGGGGGCAAGGGACAGATTTTACCTCCTGAGTCAAGATGCTCCAAACATCAAGAACCATGACAGAAAAGGCTCTTTTCCTCAATTCCACCAGAAAATTGACTGATGGGAAGAATCCTTTTGCCAACACGAGTGGGGCAAGCCAGTCTCATTTAGAAAAGATTGTTGCACAAATATACTGAACCCATGACATAAAGACATTTAAAGGTAATAACCAGAGGTGGGTTTCAGCAGGTTCTGACCAGTTCTGGAGAACCTGTAGCAGAAATTTTGAGTAGTTCAGAGAACTGGTAAATACCACCTCTGACTGGCCCTGCTCCTAATTATTCTCTGCCTCCCAAGTCCCAGCTGATCAGGAAGAAATGGTAACCTTCCCCTGGATTGAGGAGGGAATGGAGATTTTACAGGATCCTTCCCCTGCCATGCCCACCAAGCCACACCTACAGAACTGGTAGTAAAAAAAATTGAAACCCACCACTGGTAATAACCAACAGCTTGAATTGTACCCAAAGCAGCTTGTATAAGAGTGCTACCCTAGGGGCTTCTAAAATTGTCTGTGCTGCTGCATTCTGGACCAATTATATTTTTGAATATATTGAATATTTTTTGAAATACTCTTCATAAATCATATTTATTGATTTTTGCCATTCCATAACTCTCTTGCTCCATCGTCTACCTTTCAATATTAAAAAATGTTCAACTGAAGTATTGAGAAACTGATGCTCATTTTTCAGAGAACAAAGCACTGGAATATTTGCTGTTTTCCAGAGGAGAGATGCAGGTCTTAATTTTTACAATGCAGGAGGACATTTTCTCCTGCATATAGTATTCAATTTTCTTACCCATGGACTTCTTATACATTGTTCTAAACAGACTTGCATATAATTGCATGCTAGTCTTACTAGCGCAGTACAAGGATTCAAATAGATTCTTCAGTTTCCTACTGGTGATAATGAACACTTGTATAAAGCAAAGGGACTCCTTACTTCCAAAAGGAAAGACAAGGAGCTGTATTCTTTTTGTTTCACCTGAAAGAAGAACATGAATTGAAGCATTTCCAATTTTGGAAATGGTTAAATTTTCAAGGTGACTCAAATTACCATGAAAAAGCAAATTACTACCAAGTTCACAATATTTATTACTATGGACTGGAAATAGCTCCATTGTGGTAAAGTAGGTAACTATAATAAGTGGGACTTGGGTTACTTATGAAGTCAATGATTCCCAACAAATCACCCTAATTAAATTTCATTGTTGTTATTCAATCATGTCTGATTCTTGGAGACTGCTTGGATAAGTTACTGAAATCTTTTTTGTAAGGTTTTTTAAAAGCTTCCTTTGACCATTGCCTCCTTCCTAGGGCTGACAGAAAGTGACTGGTCCAAGGTGACTCAGCTGGATTTGGGCCTAAAACAGGATTAGAATTCATGGTCTCCCAGTTTCTAGCTTGGTGTCTTATCTACTACACCAAACTGACTCTCATGATTTAGGCTCATTTTAACTCCAAATCTAGATGCCAGTGGAATAATTTTGTCCACCATCATATAGCAAAAGCCTTAAGACTCTTTGATGCTTCGCATATGAATTATGGAAGTACCTGGGATGAAGAAAAATAATTATATGAAATACTTGCCTTCAAATTTATCATTGTTGAAACTTATGGCATTTCCCCCTTTGTGAGTTTATAATTAATGTCAGCACTGGCATCTGACAAGGTTCGATTCCTAATCATTTCTATACCATAATGGCCTTTGACGATTAGCTTTGTCTTGTTATAAATCTTGTTTGTGAATCAAGCCAGTGATGAGTGGAAACTTACATTATATAAGTCAGGGTGCCAATGAGAGTGTGATCTCTGGGGCTTCATCATAATTGTTCCAATCAGGCTTTGCAGAATTTCCTTGTGCAATTATATCATTATTGTTGGGCAATTTTGTTGTGAGTTTTTTTTCTTTCAAGATAGATGAAGTTCTGTAGCAACTTAGTCATGTATATATTATATTATTGAAATAAAGAGAACTTAAGTCATATAGATGGCATATACTCTTCATATGACTAACTTGAATCCAACTCTTTTTAATGTTATGTGCATTGACTGTTGATACTTTCTAGCATTTTGAAGAGAAGGAAATGCTAGGAGTAGTATTACTCAGCTTAGTTCCTCTGGGATGAGGCAGCATTTCCAAATAATCAGCTATTTAGAAAACCTGCTTTACAGACATAAACCCAGAACAAATATACAGAAATAAGGTTTTCCTACTTTCCTAATTAGACTTATAGATAGAAAACATGATTTTCTATCTATAACAAATTAATGTTTTCTATCTATGACAAGCCAATTTCTGTTGTATTTTTGTTGACAGAGAACATGATTTAATTTTGAAGCAAGTCACCCAAACCCTAGTCCCCTCCAGTCTTCATTACGGCCATGCCTGTCCTTGAAAAGTATCAGGAGCTTTGTTGGTTCAAAATATTGTGGCCTGCATGGTTTTGTGCAAGTCTAGATTTGCACATGTGTGACTGTTCAATATTATTTCTGCAGAAATGAGATTATTCCCCATTCTGACATTGTTTTGAAAAGTACTGAAGACATGACTTTGTCAATGGGCCTATGATTGAGTCTGTCAAGTGGTTGATTTGGTTGTTTTTTCATAGGGAAAGGGGGTATTCATTTTTGCATTGGGATTTTATTTTTGTAAGCCACCTGGAGTTGCCTTTCCTCCAAGGAAAGATTGAAGGCAAACAAGGTCCAGGCAGAAGAAGAGCATCATGGCTTCAAAACCTAAGAGACTAGTTTGGACAAAACTTAACAGCACTTTTTCATGTGGCTGTTGATAAAAATAGGATTGCCAACATGATCGCCAAAGTCCGATGACAAATATGGCACAAGAAGAAGAAGAATGCTTAACCACTGAGATATTGATATAAAATTTACTAAGGGGAGATATAGCTTGACTAGAACTTTTTATATGCATGAACTTTACATATGCATCTGAGTAAAGATCCTGTTCTGAGTGAGATCATTTACCATTGAGACCAGTGAAAATGCTCTAATAGAGGAACAATTTGAATGAGAACAACTCAAAAGAGCTCTGGATGGTATATCTGTTGATCCCAACAACTTTTCAACTTAGGAGATACACACACACACACACATGTGATATATGTGTGTGTGTGTATGTGTGTCACATACATATATATCACATACATACATATCAGTGTTCATAGAACTCTCTGTACAAATATTAGAATTTTGATGTCCTACACAGAGAAAGAAAAAGCCATTATGCATAATAATAATAATAATGTATATACACATTTATGATATATAATTAGAGAACACACACACACACACACACACACACACACACACACACACAAACAAATGAAAAAAAATGTTCTATTTAAGAGAAAATGTTGGCTTTTTGTCTACTAGATTTTTTCTCCAGATTGGTGTTTCAAAATATAGGTCACCTAATTCGCCTTATAAGTGCTTTCAGTCCTTCTATAAAATCTTTGTTTCTCAATGAATATATGACTGGATTAACAACTGGAGTTACCACTGAGTAAAGAAGAGAAATTAGCTTGTCCTGATCAAGAGTGTAGACTGAGGAGGGCCTGATATATGTGTAGATCACTGAAGAAAAGAAAATGCTGACTATAATGAAATGTGAAGAACATGTAGAGAAGGCTTTCTTCTTCCCTTCAGTGGAACGCAATGAGAAAATTGTTTTTAATATAAAAAAATAGGATGTGAAAGTTAGTCCACAGCTGCAAATACCAAATATCACATCTGAAATAAATTCCATAGTTTCATTTGGATGTGTATCTGAACATGAGAGTTGCAATAAAGGGGGTATATCACAGAAGAAGTGATTGATAATATTGGAATTACAAAAAGAGAGCTTTAACGTAAGTCCAGCATGGATTCCAGAATTGATCATTCCAAAAATCCATACAATACTTGCTATGCCCAAACACACTTCCTTCTTCATAATAACAGTGTATTGCAAAGGCTGACAGATAGCAGCATAGCGATCAAAAGCCATGAATGACAGAAGGAGGAGTTCTGTTCCCAAAGCCCAGATAAACAGATAGACCTGTGCAATGCATCCATAAAATGAGATGGTCTTTCTTCCAGTCAAAAGATTGTGCAGCAGTTTAGGTATTGTAACTGAAATGGAGAATACATTCACTAAGGACAAATTGACAATGAGGAAATACATGGGGGTGTGGAGTTTTCTATAAGAGTATATGGTAAGAATGAGGATGAAGTTGGCAATTAGGGCCATACCATAGATGAAAACGAATACCCAGAAGAGAAGGGTCTGCATTTCAGTTGTTGTAGATAGCCCAACAAGGATAAACTCCAATACAGCAGTCTTGTTCTTTAAGTCAATATTGTTGATATTGGAATGCTAGAGAGATACATAGGTTTGCATTAAAAATATATTAAGTATCAAATTAAGTATTAATTTTAGTATGCATTTGACACTTTTATTCATTCAAATGTTTATAGAAAAAATTATCTACAACAGCTACAAATAATAAAGATTATGAAATGTTATAACATGGAATAAAATGAAATGGTTACCTCCATCCCTGTTGTTTTTAAATGTCCTTATTCTCTTGCTTATGACTGAGACATATATTTGGCTGTTTGTTTTTTCTTGGGCTGGTATCTGGTTTTTCCTTCTAACAATTTAATGAGTGATGATCTCAATGAATGTACATCATCACTGTAAAATATTCATTAATTAAAATAATGAAACCACTAGGAGAGAGACCTTAGAGGCATTACCTAGGTGATAATCTATTAATCATCACCAGGAAAAAAGAAAATATTAAAATTAAGAACTGAGAACTTAATGCTTAGTTGCACTTTTATTTTATTCATGTTAGCATGTAAATCATATTACATTTATTACAGAGCTGAAGCTACAAATTCTGTGGGTAACCATGATACTAATTTGGGGCATTTGTTTTCAGAATGGCCCTGGAGTATGAAATAAGGCTCCATATCACTTGTAGATCTCATGTTATCTGATTTTCACAAATTAC